TTGATTTCAGAGTGAAGAAGGTACTGGGAGAGAGATATAGAAACATCAATGATGACAGAGAACCACTGATCAGCTGCCTCCTGCACGCCTTCTACTGTGGATCAGCCCCACAATCCAGACATGTGCCCTAACCAGGAATCAAACCACAACCTCCTGGTTCATGGGTTAACATTCAACCACTGAGCCACTCCAGCCGGGCTAAGTCAGACTTTAAAAAAAAATTATTAACCAATGTTACCCCAATAAATTAAATGAAAAAAATAAAAGAAAAAACAGTACCAAGGGAGGAACAAAGGCATGAAACATCATTCAAGTTATTTATTGAACGTTTACTATATGCAGGGTATTGTTTTAGTTGCTGGGTATAAAGGGCATCCAAAGAGGGTATGTAGAAAAGGGTCTCTGATGACACCATTTAAAAAAGGTAAACAGAAATGGAGACTAATTAAAGAGCAGCTATAAAGAAGAAAAATTAGGAAAAAGTAGTGACCAAGAAGCCAATGGAGTTTTTAAAAGGGAGAGGACAATAGTGTCAAATGCTGAAAAGAAGTCAAGAACTGAATTATCCATTGGATTTAGCAATATGTAGTTAGCTGATGGCTCTAGTAAGAGTAATTTCAATGGAATGTTGAGGGCAGAATCAAGACTACAATGACTAAGGAGTGATTTGAAAGCAGAGAAAACAAATGGGGCTTGACTACCAAGGAAATTAGAGAGCAGAAGACAGATTCAAGGGAGAATATTAATATAGGAGACTCTAGCATTATTATATGCTAAATGACTTAGAGATGAGACACTGAAGATAAAGAAGAGAGGGACAGATATTGGAACAGGTCTCTAAGGAGTTAAGATGGGACGAGACTCACTGACTTGCTCATTCATCTATACATTCATAGTGTTGGCCAGAAGACAGACACTCTGAGACAGTTGAGGATGCTGATGGTAGAGGTGACTAAGGAAGCTTAGAGCTCTCCTGTAAGCTTCAATTTCTCCAGTGTCAAGAGGGGAGGCATCTGCTGAAGGAAAAGAGGTGGTAGCATAGGGGTCTGACAACAGATGAGTCTTAAGTAGCCTTTAAGAATGGAAGAGGTTGTTGAAGCATTGGGGCTGCTAAACTGCTTCTCAAAGTCAATTTGTGGTGCTACCAACCAATGGTGTGAACTCAGTAGTATTCAGCAGCCCGTGAGAGCAAAGAAAGCAGATGGCTAAAATGATCTAGGGACAAGGTTCTGCAGGGTAGGGAAAACAACAGATCATGAGTGAGTCTATGCTAAATGGAGAAGGGGCAAAGCTAGAGCAGTGATGGTGAACCTATGACACGCGTGTCAGAGGTGACACGCGAACTCATTTTTTTGGTTGATTTTTCTTTGTTAAATGGCATTTAAATATATAAAATAAATATCAAAAATATAAGTATTTGTTTTACTATGGTTGCAAATATAAAAAAATTTCTATATGTGACACGGCACCAGAGTTAAGTTAGGGTTTTTCAAAATGCTGACATGCCGAACTCAAAAGGTTCGCCATCACTGAGCTAGAGTGAACTGACAGATTGGGAGAAAAAAGCGATTAAGTGGAGGTTTCTTGAGGTCAGAGTAAATATACTGAGAGGAAGAGCTCAAAGGACATTTAAAAACCATAGTAGTATGAATGGGATCTTAAAATTTAACATTTCAGAAATAAGTTTTTGAGAATCCATAACATGTCCTTAAAAGTGCTTGGCTAACTGATCTGAAATGATTATTGAAAGTGAAGGTCCAGAAACTGTAAGGTCATTCATGACCAATAATATGACCCAGAATGATGGAAGGCCTAGGGGTAGACAGGCCATGAACCATCAAAGTCCTCAGTGAATGCAATGAGATGGCAGTGATGAGGATACACAGTAGAGCTGAATAGCAGAGGCCTCGAAGTGTGGCCTTGAAAATCAGGAATATAGGGGCAACAGCCTCTATAATCCACCTACTCACACCATGTAGTAGTGAAGTGAGAAAATGAGCACCCTAGACTTGAAAAAATCCTAAGAGAAGTGTGGCTTAGAGCCAGATTACAGTTAATGAAAAAAGAAAAGTTTACTTATAAAAGAATAGGGAAGTGAAGTCTTTATAATGCAAATTGGTGGTGGGGGGGAGCAGCAACCCTATATAATAAAGCGGTAATATGCAAATTAACCCTCACACCCTCGCAAGATGGCTGCCTATGACCAAGCTGGCAGGGGGGTTGGCCAGCAGGGAAGGGCCAGTTGGGGATGACCTGGCTGGCAGGGGTGGGCAGTGAGGGGACCAGGCCGGCAGGGGAGGGCAGTTAGGGACGACCAGGCAGGCAGGCAATTAGGAGCCACTGGTCCAGGATTGTGAAAGGGATGTCCGACTGCCAGTTTAGGCCCGATCCCTGATTGGAGAGGGTGCAGGCTGGGCTGAGGGGACTTACCCCTCCCTCCCCCCTCCCTCCCTGTGCACAAATTTCGTGCACCAGGCCTCTAGTGAGAAAATAAAGTGAAGATAGCAGGTTACAACATTGGAATATGAGGGGAGGGCTGGTCAGTAGACAGGTTTCTACTTTAGATGGCAGCAATGAATTACAGGGATGAGAAGCAAAGTGAATTAAACCATCCTCATTGCTCCAATTAAAACTCTGGAGTAAATTTCTATTACAAAACAAACAGAAGCACTGAGCATTGGACCAAGGCTATGGCTTGAATTGTTGTTCCGGGTTCCAAATAGAACACTAGTGATAATCTGTTTAGGGGTCTCAATGAAGCTTAGCCCCAAGTAGAGAGGATGGTAGGGTTAGGCCAGGAAGACTAAAGTTGCCCGGGTCCAGGTGGTCTGTTTCAGCAGGGTGCATCCTAGGATGGAGAGGAAATGGGCCTATGCTTTGAGTAGGGAAAAGTTTACAAAGGCCAGGGCAATTCAGGAGGGAGTGTCTGAAAATATGTCTGATACCCTCACCTTACCTTCAGAGTTCAGCACAGAATAAATGGCAAGATGCCGGTTTTGGGGCACACATGAAAGTGCTTCATGAACTGCACAATTAAGACCCAAGTGAAGGTAAAACTATGGGTAATCTCTAATATGAATTTATTAATGACCAACACTTAACATTTTTTCTAAAAAGAGACTAGATATTCAATATAGGATGTATGTTCCCTCCTCAGAAGTGCTGAATAGATTTTTCTATCATTAAATGGGGATTGGACTACATGTCTAAAACCCACCTGTATCTTACTCTTTAAACTCTATAAAGTTTTATTTAAAAATATGCTTCTTTCCCTGCCGATAGCGCTCGCAAACATGGTGAATGTTCCTAAAACCCACCGAACTTTCTGTAAGAAGTGTGGCAAGCATCAACCCCACAAAGTAACACTGTACAAGAAAGGCAGGGATTCTCTGTATGCGCAGGGAAAGCGGCGTTATGACAGGAAGCAGAGTGGCTAAGGTGGGCAGACTAAGCCAATTTCTGATAACGCGCTAAAACTACAAAGAAGATTGTGCTGAGGCTTGAATGCGTTGAGCCCAACTGCAGATCTAAGAAAATCTGGCTATTAAGAGATGCAAGCATTTTGAACTGGGAGGAGATAAGCAAAAGGGCCAAGTGATCCAGTTCTAAGCGTCATATTTTGTTTTATTGTATGACAATAAAATCTTGATATGTTCACTTCAAAAAAAAAATCCTTAAAATTCATCATCTATATTTTACCCTCTTTTAAGGAGAGGGGCTGTAATTTAAATGTCTATATATAACCCACAGATGGTAAAAAAAAAAAAATCGACTCAAAAAAGCTAAGTAACTAACATAAGGTCATACAAAGAATTATAAAAACCAGATTACTTGATTCCTAAAATCAGTGTTCTTTACCTGAAGACTTCATCTGGGCTTCTGAAGTTTGTTTTGTTGGTTTTTTGTGGTTTTATTTTTTACTACAGAAAATTCTGACTTCCTTCCTATGTCCCTTACAACTAACTCATCAGGGTTCTTTAATACAAGCTTTCAGCTAGCATCACAAGCCATCCTTAAAAGCTTCTCGTGGTGGTGCCTTTTTTCCCCATTAACAAGATATACATACTACCTAGCTCCAAAGACAAAGTTAGAGAAAAATCCTTGCCTAGTAATTTCATGGAATTACTATATGGAAATATTAAGCTCTAAAAATCACTCTAAGTTTATTCATGATATAGTATTTGACGGTATTCTTTATATTGTTCTCAGTGGTTGAGAGTCGACCCATGAACCAGGAGGTCACTATTTGATTCTCGGTTAGGACACATGCCCAGGTTGCAGGCTCGATCCCCAGTAGGAGATGTGCAGGAGGCAGCTTATCAGTTTCTCTCTCTCCCTCTCCCTTCCTCTCTCTGAAATCAATAAAAAAGAATATTAAAATTACAAATCACTTCTCTAACAGTCTTCTGGAACAAATTAAGTTTGAGAACTAAGGTTCCACTTGTACTCTGTGTGATATACAGCATATACTGTATTCTTACAATAAAGCAAGCTAGAGGAAAGAAACAATTAAGAAAATGTAAGGAAAATACATGTATAATACTTCTCGAAAAAAAATCTATGTATAAGTGGACCTGTACAATTCAAACCCGTGTTGTTCAGTGGTCAACTGTATTTCATTTTCCAAATTACTGGTTTGTTGCAAATGAATAAATCACTCAAGAATCAAAGGTGGGGAAATGTCTGTTGGGAATCACTGGATTCTTGCTGAAAGCAAGTGAAATCTTCAGGAATCACTTTTCCAACTTCATACTTTTTGAGTACACTATTCTCAGCAATGCAGTAGGTTAAACACACTACTGATCAAATTATTTGAGCCAGTTCTTTATTTTATAGAGAGCACATACAATATTAGAAACTGCTTTGGCACAGGTTAAAAGTGGCTCTCATATACTTGCTAGTATTCCTCAGGATCATTAATAATTCAGTGCCAAAATTTACCTTTACTCGATTACCAGAGTTGCCACCACTGTAAATGATGAAGTAGGGGGGAACCTGAGCACACATAAAAATGTTCTTTATTTTTTAGATGCAATGCAAATAACCATATCTAATATTCTTTCAGAAAACAAAAAATGCAAAACATGCTCAAAAAACAAGAAATCAGGTTATACTTTTCATAAGGCACCACCAAAAACCCTGGCAAATTATAATCCATATTATATTTAGGTGTCTCACTAGCAAATAAATAAATATTTAAGGGAATAACCAACACAGGGTCTTGAGGTTTACAAAACACATTCCTGTTTAGACATCTTGGAGTACTGCAATGGTAAAGGTAAGTAGGATACATCTTTAAAAACCCATCCTAACCTTTCCCAGTGCACATCATTCATTGCATAGTGGTGACTGGATATGACCCAAGCCAAGAGAAGACTGCAATTCCAAAATAGATTAACATTCATCCTTTCCTTCTCATGCTATAAATACCAGCTGGCACATCCATATCAAAAAAGTAATTATATACTTTAATTAAGAAGCAACATGGAGGACAGCAAATCATTTACCTGCTTTTTAAAATCTATTTATAGGACATACTGCAAAAGCAACTTACTACACACTGTTCACACATAAACCCTTTATTAAACTTGGTTATACGTTGGACTTTAACTGCTTAATTTTTCCACAATTTACAAATCCCACTCCAAAACTGTCACTTTCTCCTTTAAAAAGTAGATAATCTCACTTGGAAGGGTTTTCTCAACTTTTCCTTTCATCCTCCTATTTTAAGTACTTGCTGATGTTCACACAAATGATTATAGAATCAAAATATTGACAAGCAGGGAGTTTCTTTTACGTGCACTGAATTGCACCCAAACTAAAAAAATGAAGAAAAACAAATAATTTCTTAGATACTTTAGTTAAAGACGAAAGCAGAAAACAGAAGTGAAAGTACAGGAAATTTTGTTCTAATATTACAAATCTGTTAGCCTTTGCTAGAGTTTTGATTGAAGTATATTACGGTGAATCAGATTTAATGTTTGCCTTTTCAATTATTCAAAGTATGATATACAGTAATTTGTAATTTTATTGAGGCACAAATTTGACTCATGCAGTGCAAAGCTGGTTTGCAGCAATTTAGGGAGCCTAGCATCCACATCTCAACATGGCTTTGTTGCAGTAACTATCACAGTAAAATACACATTTGTGACAGCAAAATGCCCCTTGTTCCCCCAATAAGAAAGCTACTCCGATGTATTAGTTGTAAACTTAGCAGCTTGCATAGTTCTTATTACCCATCCTTTGAGACTATCAAAGACCTAGCATTTCTTCATTTTTCGTTCTATAACCTTTGCCAAAATAGTTTATAATGAAGGTAGTAGGAAATATCTTTGAAAGGATTGACATATAAGTTAAAATACCCATGGTGAGGAATTACAACTTTGAGGAGATATTTGGGGAAAGAAACATTTTAAGTTAAGTTTTAATATAAAAATGTTTCAATACCACAGAATGGGATAAGTTGTAAGTAGTAATTTCTTCTAACTGAAAACAATGTCTTGTGTTAGAGCATCAGCATTTCTTCAAGTAGATGAATCTTAGTCCATTAATTCCAAATTGATTTGTATGTTAATTTCTCTCTCTCTCTCTCTCTCTCTCTCTCTCTCAAAAAAACTAATTTCACCTGTTCTTCTCAGCCTTGATCTAAATCTATGGTCAAGAGTCAGACCAAATCCTCTGTGATTTTCAAATACAGAAAATCCCACAGTATATATTAATTGATATATGTAAGTTTCAAAATGTCAGAAGAAAAAGAGGAAGCTATTGATTCATGGTTGGAGACTGCCCTGCATTTTCTCCCAGGTTTCTAGCAGGCAAATGCCATATTCGGAAAATAAAGCATTCCTTAAACAGCCACCTATATCCATTTATCATACTTCAAGAAGCAAAGCACCTTAGCTATCTTTCTTAGCATCCTCATGCCCCTCCACTGGGCTGAGTAGTTAATGGGTGACTAGGAAGGAAAAAAACAGAATATTTAAAAATGTATTCCAAGACCGCCATCACGTAAAATTGCATTCAATTTTTAACCCACGAGTATTTGATTACTTTTACAAAGACCAAAAGGCAAAAAATACTGTGCTATCTTCTGTAACATTGACCAAATGAAAAAATTCTTAGTATCTTTATATAGTTTGGCAAAATGAAAACTTATGAAATTGGTTATCTTGCAATATCCACTGAAATCTTAAATCATTCACACAACTGAGATTAGATTCTCAAGACACATGCACAGCAACACTTATGAACCTCTCAACAGGTCAAAACACTCAATATGTGACTCAAAAATAGGTAGGTAGCCTGAAACAGAACACATTTATAAAAACTGGATTTTATAGAAAAGCTTTTTGTGTTTCGTGTGTGTGTGTGTGTGTGTTTTAAATAAGATGGCTTTTGAGTTAAATCTCATACCCACTTAAACTGTGACTGGACAGTACATTTTACTTCTAGTTACTAGAAGACATCTCTTTCAAACAAATTGGGGTAAAATGGGAAGGAGTCTAGAAGCTATTCTTTAGGTCCACCCTGCTCCTGCCCTCTTTAAAGTAAAACTGATTAAGTCAAACAAGATGTTTAAACCAAATTAAAGGGACACAGGACAGTAAAGACAAAACACTATTTTTAGTTTGCTTGTTTTTTTCTTTAAAAAAAAAAATTAGTCCCCTTCTAGTAAGAGTTTCCATACAGCTTACCTAACACCTTCACAAGAAAAGAGAACACAACAGGAAGGAAGAGGACACAGCACCATAGTTTCAAACATTCACATACAAAAACAAAAACAGCCATCACAGAAACAGTAAGACCAAGTTTCCCAACAGACAGGGACAAGTCCCAACGCACAAAGGAAATATAATTATTTATTTGAACAAAAACAAAATGGAAGATCTGGTTAGGCTAGGATGGACAAGGAAGTGCTAACTCCTTGTACTACAAGGAGGAATGGGACTTCTTTATGAAAAAGCAAAAAAGAGTAAGCAAGCCCCCAAAAGGATTTCTGACACAGGAACTCTGTCATATGCTGCTGGTAACAGTAAATATATATATATTTATATATTCATATATGTATATTAAAAAAGGAAAAATAATCTATTTATAGAACAGTCAGTAGTCAGAGACATTTAGAAAAAAGTAAAAACAAGTCCTTTTTTCTTTTTTAAAAAATGGATTTACTAAAACAACTTCATCACCCAGAGGTCCTACAATCCCACATCCTCTGATGAAGCCATGGTGTTATTCAACAGCATCTGGTGTGGACCACAATCAGAAATTGTCAATATTGGAAACAGCAGACATTGGCATCGGGGCTGCAAGGCAAAATGTTATTTGCTGGTCTTGTTCATGGCCATGCCTGAAGCCTGGTGGTATCTAGTATACTTGTGAATGAAGGTTTCCCCCAAAAGCATGCATCCCTGTGGCTCAGTAAAACATTAACTTGTCTTCTTTTCTTTTGCAGAAGTCTGGATCCATGGACTTTCTCTGCTCTAAAATGTAGACCCAAGACAGCAAGACTTCTCTAAGCAAAAAAAAGGCTCCTTGCCTTGAAATAAGAAAAGCTCTTCTTCCCGGAATACAATCTAGTCAGATTTCTGAACTACAAGACATCCTCCTTGGGCAGATAAGGTGATCTGCCTCTCACTTGGGGTTTTCTTCTTGGTACAAACAAGCACAAGCAGCTGAGGTCTAGACTGTGCTACCATCCCATGACTTCTAACAGGAGTTAACTCTGGCCCTGTTCCTCTCCTAGTTGTATTTGTAGGGCCCTAAATGCCAGGTAATAGTGGGGAAAGTGGTACTCTGACTCCTCTGTAACTATCCTAACAAAGAGAGCCACATAATCAGCACCTCAGATGGTGCTGCCTCTAGGTCATAAACCTCTAATACCAACTGGCCATAAGACACATCTTGAATTCCCTGACGGCACACCAACCACCCTGGAGGTCAATCAAATGTCTGGCCTTAATGTAACAAACCATACTCAACAGAGACATGAACTGAAACATTGGCTGCTGTACCAAAGAAGACACCCTCTGCACAGACGTGTTGATAGAGAATGTAGATCACACAGTCCATGCAAAGAGGAAGTCAGCTATAAGGACTTTCTCTGAAGGCCAGTCGTCTTTGGAAGCAACATTGTGAGTGGATCTAATCCACTCAATTTTATGACTAAGATCTTAATGTGGTCCATTTTCCCCATGTCCCAAACAAACTTAGTATATGCTAACTGGTCTCCTTAAGATCCTCCATCGGTAGTTTGTAGCTCATTATGAAGGAAGGAGCTGGTGCTTGACCTGGGCTATCTGGCCCCTGCTTCTTTGCACAGTTTATACAGATGTAATCTTCATTTTCAGCCATTTCTGGAGATACTCCCACACAAACTTGATGAAACCACTCATCACAGCCACCATCACATTGTACCCAGTCTACCTGTAGGAGACAAGATTGAGAAATGTTTAGGTTATATAATCATTAAGCCTAAAATAAAAGCAAACCAAAGAGCTTTCTTATTTAAATGACAGCAACAATTGAGATGTCCAGAGACACACAATGACTTCTTATGGGGTTCTTTTTTAAAGAAAGAAGGTGGGAAGCTAATACCTCAAAATTATATTTTACCATAGCATGTCCACAAAATTAGGCCTCTTAGGTACTCCATTACCTCATAAATACCTGAGACTCCTTGGAAGGCAGAAACATGAGAAAAACTTGACAAAAAAAGAATAGAGCAGCCAAGTAGTTTTAGCTGGTATTAACAATTTCTAGGCAATGCAATTATCAATCAAGAAAGGAAGAGTACAACAATGTGAAGGCAATCTTGTGTATTAGCTTTATTTCAAAGAGATAAGCCAAAGTACTAAGAGCATTAAATACCTTTTTAGAAAAGCAGTCACATAGGCCACTTTTAAAACTAATATTTTTTATTCTTCTCTTCTTCCGTTACAAATACAACTCCCTATAAAAAGTTAGCAAATATCAGATAAATACAAATTAACCAATTAAAACAGTTAAAGACACAGGTCAATAGATCACTTTGGGATTAAAATTAAAGTCTGGATAACTGTTAGGTCATTGGCAGATGTCAGGCAAACTTTGACCCTTCAGAGAATCTATACTAATAAAAGGGTAATATGCTAATTAGACCGGACATCTTCCAGACATCCTTCTGGACAAAGCCACGGTGGCGGGAGCCAAGGCAGCATAGTGATGGGGAAGAAAGAGTCTCTTTAAGCTGTGAGTTTTAGGCAGAGTATTTTGGGGTACTTACAGTGAAGGAAAGAAAGACTTGAGGGCCTTGTTATATAGGTAGGAAGTAGAAAGAGACAGGGTGATACAGAAAAATAATTTCAAAACATTGTGTTATGCAGTTTTAATGTAATCCTTCTCACTCCTAAATATACACTCAAAAAGAATTGAAAACATGTTTATGTAAATCTTGTACATGAATGTTCATAGCAGTATTATTCATAATAGCCAAAAAGTGGAAACAAGCCAAATGCTCACCAACTGATGAATGGATAAATAAAATGTGGTATGCCCATACAGTGGAATATTTTATATATATGGCTAATATGCAGTGTCCCCTCGGGAGTTCAACCGGGGAGACCGGGAGTTCGATCGCTCGCTATGACGTATGCTGACCACCAGGGGGTGGCGTGGAATGAAGGAAGGCCCTGGCTGACAGCCAGAAGGCCCTGATCAGCCTTGATCACTGGCCAGGCCTAAGGACCCTACCCGTGCACGAATTTCATACATCGGGCCTCTAGTATTGTGATAATAGTAGGAGGTTAGAAAGGCACTATCATTTTAGTGACTTTAAGCCTTGGACCTAGCATTAAAAATAAGGTGATTTTGGCTTTTTATATTTGGAGGGCGATTGTGGTAGTTTTTAAAGCTGATTCCATGGCAGATGCAGCAGACACTACAAAAGTTGATCATTTCACTTGGCAACATAGGAAGCCACTTAAAACAATGAGCTTTGCCCGATATCAGAGCAAAGTAAGGCATATGAAGAGATTAAATAAGTACCTCAGTACAGCTTATAAAAAAGAACAGAGGCCCTAACCGGTTTGGCTCAGTGGATAGAGTGTCCGCCTGCGGACTGAAAGGTCCCAGGTTCGATTCTGGTCAAGGGCATGTACCTTGGTTGTGGGCACATCCCCAGTTGGGGGTGTGCAGGAAGCAGCTGATCGATGTTTCCCTCTCATCGATGTTTCTAACTCTCTATCCCTCTCCCTTCCTCTCTGTAAAAACATCAATAAAATATATTTTTAAAAAAAAGAAGAACAGAGGAAGGTTTTGGCTAGGTAAAGGAGTTTCAAGGAAAGTGAGCAGTTTTCAAAATTAGTTTCCATGTACTATAAAAAATGATCAAAACTATGATAGTCATGTTAATAGTTTTAGGGTTATAATAAAGGGTGGGAGAAATTATTTGTCAAAAAAAAATTTTTTTTTAGAGAGTGGACGGGAGGGAGTAGGGGGAGAGAGAGAAACACTGATGTGAGAGAGACACATCAATTGGTTGCCTCTCGAATGTGCCCTGACCAGGGCTGGGAATCAAGCCTGCAACCGAGGTATGTGCCCTTGACCAGGAATCAAATTCAAGACCCTTTGGTCCACGAGCCAACACTTTAACCACTGAGCAAACCAGCCAGGGCTCAAAATAATCTTTCTGCTTTCATTGTTCCTATTTTAGAATTCTAGAGCTTACTGAACTATGTTGTGTAGTATAAAGATTACTGAATTCGGTCAGAAGTTCTGAGTTCTGAGGTGCATAATTTGAGGCAAGTCATTTAATCTCATTAAGGCTCAATTTTCTCATCTGTAAAAATGGATATTACATCTTTTTTATAGAATATTTTGAAGATCAAATGAAATAATGTATAGCAAAACACCTAGTTACTGCCTGGGATCCTGGAGGCATTTTTTTTTAAAATATATTTTATTGATTTTACAGAGAGGAAGGGAGAGAGATAGAGAGTTAGAAACATCGATGAGAGAGAA